AAACCTAGTTATACCTCTACATTGGCCACTGATCCATTCGCCTCTTCTTCTCAATCAGTTACTCCTTACCCTCCTAATCCTATTAAATCAGCTCGTTCTAATTATGTTAAATCTCATACAACTAATCTCTTTTTCAAAGAACCTAGTCATAAAAATACCCATACTGTTCTTGACCTAGTTAAATCTTATTTCCCTCCTAGATGGCATTTTGTTCCTCTTCACCTAGAAAAGTCAATCACCTATTACAAAGACATCCTTTTCAATCATCAGTCCATTGTTATTAAGCCTATTTATGATCGCACTTACACTAGTAAAATTGTGTTTATTTCATTATATATTCACAATATAGTCTCTTTGAATGAATGGGGATCTCCTTTCCAACTCAGAGACTTACCTGGTCATGCAATCCAATATAGTTATTATGATTATATTGATGCTTGGTTTAAGGTCCTCCTGTATCAAAATGAGTCAAACAGTCATTCCTGGTTCCTCCAATTTGATAATAAATTTAAGTCAGAACTCCCCACTTGGTTTCTGCGTTGGTGGTCACAATATGGGGCTATTAATGATATCTTCCCCTCTATTATGATTGAACAAGTCAACTACTTCTCTACTGTTTTCCCATTTAGCCCACAACAAAAGAAATTCCCCTCATTGCTCATTTTTATCTCCAAATACAAAATTCCCTGGATATTTAAATGGCAATATGCTATTTCTGATGACATAATCTTTCGCCAACACTTTGTTAAATGGTGGGATAATTTCAAAATTCCACGGATCATTGAACAAGTTCAAGCAAAATTTCCAGTCAATATTCAAGTATAATTTCCAGTCAATATTCATGCTCTAACACCTGCTATGATTAAAGTTCAGCAGAACCCAACTGTTCCATTAACACAAGGAAGCCCACTTCCTCCAATCAATCTTGGAAGCCCAACATCTAGTTCTTCCAAACCCAAGTCAGCAATGCCCAAATCTACTCAGTCAAAGTCCAAAGCTAAGCACAATCTTCATCAGCCCAGGCTAAATCTAAAGTCAAGTCCAAGTCATCAAAAGATGAGCTCCTTCAAATAGCTCGCCTTCTCATGGCCCAAGCCAAGTCATAAACTGATGAAGATAGTTCAGGAGAAGGTTCAGACAGTTCTAACTCTTCTGAAGGCTCAACCAATCAAGATCCATACGGGCTCCAGTTTCAAGATGCTGAGGACCCATATGCTTGATGCAGTCATTGGATTCTATATAGCTATGATTATCAGCTATAATTATCAGCTTCAATCAATACTCTCCTTTTGAGAAAAGCCGTTGATATATATATCTATATTGATTCCACTCAGTCACATGCTCCCAAATGAATAGTGAAAAAAGTCAAATTTACTGTTCACTATTCATCAAAAAGTCAATATTACTATTCATGATTTATCATTATTCATCAAACCAACAAATTCAGCATATTCAGAGGCAACCATCAACTTTAGTCACTCATCGAAAGTTGCAAACAGCTCCTATGTGTTTCTTTCAAAGTCAGATTCCTTCACAAGGCTCACAGTAACTCCTTTCATCTATTTAAAAGCCTCTTCAGTCAAGAATAAGGCAGAGTTAGAAAATTTGAGTGCTCATTCCTTAGGAAAAATAGCTATCTCTGTAATTTTACATTTTCAAATTCGTTTTCAAGTCATGTATTTTGAAGAACTGTTTGCTTCATTCCAGTAAACAATTGTAAGTTTTATTTTATTGTATTATTGATATTATTGTAAGTTTTATTTTAAGTTTATTATTGTAAGTTTTATTCAGTTTTATTCAAGTATTAAAAAATTTAATTAGTGTTGATTCCTGTTTCCTGCTTCCCTCATTCCGCCTCCTTTTTGTATCAGAGCCAAGTTATGTCGAAGTATTGCTTATTGAAGTATTGTTTCTATTTAATCCACTCTGTTCCTTTCCTCTAAAAATTGTTCGCAGTGCTCTTAATCTGTCACAAACTTATCTGTGTCTTTCCACGTTGTTATTAACCACCCATCTTTCGTCCCAGTTCCTAGGTAGGTCCTTTGGTTAGGCAGTATTGGATACATAGGGGTTTTCCGGAACGGGTATGTGTGAACACATCGTATCTCAAAACATGATAAGTTTAGACAATGTATTAAGCTCACTATAAGCTATTTTACGAAAAGGGAAACATGAGTCGATTATTTAGAAGTAACTCTTCTGTCAACTCTAGGTCAATGTCACTACCCTCTATACCTAATCAATGTTTAGTAATTAATGAAGAAGATGTAGAAATACAAAATGATAAAATTGATGAGTTGGAATATATCACAATTACCAATTAAAGAAATATATAAAACTACTTTTATGCAGTTTACATTTCATGTTAATCTCATGTCAAAACCTTTGAATAAGTTTATGTTTTAGAAAAACCTAGGGAAACATGTCAATTACTTGATACTGCCTAACCAAATAATATAAGGTTTACTGTTCACAAATATGAAAGGAGGTTTTGGTAATGAGGTATAACAATATAATAATATACAACATAATATAATTAATATGTTCTTATATTATTTACATTATTATTAAAATTAAAATAAAAACCGCATATTTAAAACAGTAAAAAAAATGCAAGAAAATAAAGAAATTCCATCGGGTAAATCAACCAATCATTTTTACTATGTTGTATTATATATTTAAAGAAAAGAAAAATAAAAAAGAAAATAAATGAGAAAAGTCCGAAAACTTACCTTTGAAGGAAAAGATGAATTTACTGATTACCAAACTTTCTTCCTAATACCCTCACGGTTATGGAGTATGCTATGAGATCTCAACAAGAAATGCAAACTTTAATGGAATTTTGGGTGGTATATATTAGTGGATAGAAATGTTTAAGATTTGCTGAAACAAAAATTATTTTTTCAAAATTTTCTCTTGTGAAGACTTTGTGAAATAAAATTTTCTCTATTTTTTTTCCCCCTCTTTTTTCCTCTCTTTTGAAAGAAAAAAAATTAAAAATATCTCAAATTTTAATCCTTCCAAAACAAAAAACAAATGAGGGGATATTTATAAAATTCCCAAACACTCAAAACACATGGCTAGTCATGTAGTATTTCCAAAAACACATGGCTTGGTTTGGGGAAGTAGGTTGGCTTTTTGACTTTTTTTGCTATTTTAGCCTGGGCTAAAAAGCTTGGTTTGGGAAGGGTTTTTTGGCTTTTTGGCTTTTTTGATTTTTTTTGTGAGAGAAAAATGTAATGATTATAGGTTGGATGTGATGTTTTGTTTGTTATGGCTAAAATAGCCTATTTTATTTTTTGTGGCTAAAATAGCCAAAAAAGCCTGAAAATCAACTTGCCAAACAGAGGCATAGCTTGCCATGCGATATTTCAAAATCTTGTGGCTTGCCATGTGATATGAGAGTTGATTTTTCAAAATTACTAAATTTTTTGAGCAAGAAAAAATTTAAAAAATATTTTGAATATATCTAAAATAATTTGACTAAAACGAATGTAAAGTTGAAAGTAAAATTTAAACTCGATTTTTCAGTTGAAAAATTCATAAAATAACATGTTTTAATTTTCATCATTAAATGTTTAAAAAAAAAAAGGCTCAAATTGTAAGACCAGTCAAAATAAAATATTTACGACAATCACACCACCTCAAACTACAGAAGCCTAGATCGAGTTCACTAATGGTCGTGGAATCTTTTGATTCCCAATTTCCAATATTCTCTTTTTGAGGCCTAGATCAATTATCATTTTTGTCAAGATCTAATCCTTATCATTAATGCATGTCGTCTTTCTTTGATCACATAGGCTTGGTTGGGAGACTGAGTTAACTTTTTGATTTTTTTAACTATTATGGTTTGAAGTTAAAAAGTTTTGTTTGGAAAAGATTTTTAATTTTTTTAATTTTTTTTTGATTTTTTTTGAAAGAAATGAGGTAATAATTATGAATTGGATGTAAGGTTTTGTCTTAATGAAACTAAAAAATTTATTTTATTTTTTGTGGCTATTTTAGACCATCTCCAATGGTTCATCAGATTCATTATCAAATTTGAATTTGGTAAAAAATGACAACTTTTTTTTTATCTCCAACAATTTCATCAAAATGATATCAAATTGAGAATGGCTCAAATTTTTCACCAGATTAAGGATTTTGTGTGCCTTTCAACAAAATACTATTCATTACTGTTGTATTTCACTACCCGATGACCCATCGGATGTCCCACCGGATATCCTTCGGGAAGACTACTCAAGCAAGATTTTGTGCAGATTCTACACTGGGGGTCGAAAGTCGACCCCCCGGATGACCCCTCAAGATTTTGTGAAGATTTCACGTCAGCTTGGAAAAACAAAATTTGTTTTCCTCTTTTCAGTCGATCGGCCGATCGTTCCACCGGATGTCCAGTGTGTTTTGATGAAAACCGTTTGAGCAATTGATATCAGATTGAGGAATTGATCTTTTTTTTACTTAGATTTGATGAAATTTTTGATGAAACGTTGGAAATGCTCTTAACTCCAAACCCACTTCCCAAATAATGGCACAAGGGAAAGTGGAGTGATAAATAGATGTAGATATGAAAGTAAAAACTAAGATTGCGTTTGGTAAAATTTTCTAAATATAATTTGAGAATAGAGTTTTATTTTGAATTTGTGAGTTTTGAAATTATGATTTGAGTGTGAAAAAATTGTTTGGTGATTGAGCTTTGAAAAGAATTTTGAATTGAGTGAGAAATTTTTGATGTGACATATGATATTTGATACAAAAACTTACAACTCATAACCAAATACACAACTCAAAATTCTATTAAAGTTCATAAAAAATTTTAAAAAAATTCAGAAAATATTTTTTGTTAAATATATAAAAATTAACATATGTCAATTGCAAAAAAAATAAAAAAATAAAAAATTTACATTGTTCCGGTCAACTGGCTGGACGACCGGTTAGTCTAAATTTTTCCACTTTCGATCGAGTTTTCAAAAGTGAGAATAAAATTAATTTTTGAAAGCCACAACCAAACACCATATGCAAACTAAGAGCTGAAATCACAATTTCAAAGCTCTTTCAAACAGAGAAAATTTTAATGATAGTTTTGAGAATGGAGCGGTTGGTCAATAATAGGACAAGAAGATAAGAGAGGGAGAGAGAGATAAATGGCGGGGTTAGACGGTGGAAAAGATGGATTGTGGGTATTTGGTACGATCGCGTTAAGTTTGGATGTAAATTTGAGCCTTCGTTTAGCAACGACTTTTTTAGTTGACTTTTTGACTTTTTTAACCTGAGACTTTTTTGTTCGTTTGGTATTCTTATTAGTTTTTTTGACTTTTTAACTTTGAAATAGTGACTTTTTTTTTTTATCTTTTGTGATTTTTGGGCTTTTGTGATTTTTTTTTTATTTTTTTATTTTTTGTCATTTCCTACTTATTTTGCCCAAAAGAAAAACCAAACACCACCTGAATTTGAGTTTAAATTGAAGGGTCTTCAAAATATTACAACTTATCCCTCATTCATTTTTTTTCTTTTCAATTTTATGGTACTGCGGTTTTCAACTACGCTAATGTGAACCTGTAATTTATGTTAAAAATTATAATAAAAAAATGTTTTTTAATGAAATAAATACTAGTATATCAAATTAAACTGGAAGACGAGTCGATAATTGTTCAACTCCGTCACCCTTCACCGCAGGACAATTAAACTGCGTCTTCACAGGCTTCACATATACCTTAGAGGTCCCCAACTCCGTTACGTCTCCGTCGACCCCGCCTTCGAACGGTTGTTCTTCGAGAAAAACGGCGGCGTAATGCTAAAAATCCACCGGTCCAACCTCCCAACCTGATCGAACCGGCCCCGACTAGTCCCTTCCATCGGCAAAACCACGATGCAACTCCTGGTCCTTTTCAGCCTCCCACTCATCATGATCTGCTTCCTCACTTCCTCCGGCAACCTCAGCGTGTACCTCTCGCAGCTCTCTCCGAGTCCAACCAGTGAGTGACCCGTCGAGTGCGACCTCTGAAACTTCACCTCTCGCTCTCGATTCTGCTTCGGAAATTCACTCGCTTCCGGATCTCTGTTTCTTCGTCGTCTTCTTCTTCTTCAACATTAATTGAAATTGAAATTGAAATTTGATTCTCGTTTTGCATTACTTCACTGAGTTCAGTTCTGAAATTGTGCTCATCAATCGATTCATTAGATTGATTCACCTCCTCCGGCACGAGGTTCGCTCGACAGACGGGACAGGTGCTGTGAGAAGCCAACCAAGCGTCAATACAATCAGAATGAAACACGTGATTACACTTGGGAAGCAATCTGAGAGTTTCGTCGTCTTCGAACTCGTTTATACACACCGCGCACTCTAGCGTTCCTTTGCCGACCTTGTGGTCTTTGATCTCCGAGTAATGAAAAATCGGGAAAGACTCGATTACTTTGGGATCGAGGCCGCGCGGGAACCGCCGCAATCGGGCGGCGGTGGAGTTGGCGGAATTTGGTTCTGCGTCGGTGACGTTGATGCAGTGGCGGAGGTAGATGGAGAAGAAGGCGACGAAGAAGAATGCGCAAACGAGGACCAGGATGATGATCGCCGTTGGCGGATCGAAGTTGGTGTAAGGATAATTGGAAGATGGTGAAGATTCCGTACTCATCTGCGCGGCGGCGTAAGGTGTCGCCGCCGCCAAGAACAGTAGTGGGAGTAGTGGCGCGTGGGCATGGTTGTGAAGTCGGAAAGGAAACGTGTGGGTGATGATCCGACTGTTGGGATTGGTCATGGCTGAGAAATGAAATGGATGCTCATGCCCGTGATTTCAGTTCAAAAGATGTTTGATTTAGTGCGGGAAGAGAATGGAGTGTTTAATATAAAAGGCGTGGGGACGACGAATCAAGCGCTGGCTTGGGCAGGACGCAATAGGCGGAAGTAATTTTTTTGTGTATACAAAACCTTTTCTATTTTAATTTTATGAAAATTAAAATAAATAATATTGGTAATTATTTTTTAAAAAAAATAGCAAACATATCCAAAAATAAATAAAAACGAAAAATTGGTTTGGTATAGACTATATAATCCATCTTTTTATTTTTTTTCTATCACATCACCTCTCTACTTTTTTATATAACTTTTCGTAAAAAAATACACTTTTTTTAACACACCCCAAACCAACCCTTATACACTAGAAAATCTGTCCAGGCAAGAAATGACATCAGGAGATGATTCTGCGACACGTTGAGCAAAATAGGAGCTAATTAGCTGTAATCTACTTCAAAAAAGTAAAAACAAAATAATATAGTTGTATGTTGTTTGCAAGTTTAGAAATTGTGGATATGTTTAGTTTGCATTTGGAAGATGAGTTTTAGAAAAAAAAAATTTAAAATTTGTTTGGTTTGAGTTTTTCTCAAAATATTTTTAAAATCACTTTTTCTCTCTTACACATCAATCAATCACTTTTCTCTCTCCTCTCTCCTTCTCAATCACTTTTTCTCGCACACACATCTACTCAAATTCTTTCAAAATATCAAAACATCCCAAACTCCCAAAAAAATAACTCTCCCAAAATATACAACCAAACAAACCAAAATTTTTTTTAAACTCTCTCCCCAATTTTTTTTTCAAAAAAACTCTCTCAAAAACAAACCAAACAAGCCCGGTATATTCTTTTCGAAGAATGAAATATCATATGTCCATGTATTTTTATCAATTATTATTTATCATATATTTTTATAGTTTTTAATTATCTAACATAAAATAGTGATTCTACATGCAGCAATTAATATATTAATTAGTGTACTAATATATGTTATGATATTATTATTTCGAAATTATGACCTCACACTTATTATACAAATTATAAATATTTAGCTTTTTTAAAATTATGTGACATCATTCATTAATACACTAATTGGTATATCAATTATTACATATAACATTATTCAATATAAAATCATGATATCTCACACTCCCTACCAATTATAATATCATAAAGTACCACGTGGCCGTACTTCCAAAGTACCCAATAATTACCCAACAAACTCAAGTAGTACAATTTTTGAATGTTTTGTTTTTCTGTTTTTTATCTTTAATATTTTAATTAAATTTTATTAATTTAATAATTCATTTAAAGGATAAAATTTTATGAATTTAAAAAAAATACTAAAGATGAAAAGTTAAAAACAAAAAAAACAAAAAACTAGTACATTTCTATATCCTTTTGTTTTTGTGGAATTTTTTCACACAAAAAAAAAAAAAAAAACAATTTGTTTAGTAAGATTCGTTTGGGGAAAACCTTTTTAGTTTGATTCTTTTATTATTTTAATCTGATTAAAAAAAGTTTCATTTTTAATAAACTTTTAATTTTTTTTTTTAAATTTTGTCAAAGAAAAAATAAAATAATTATAATTTAAATGTGATATGTTATTTTTTAATTTATTTTATCTTTTATTAATCTACTAACCATCTTACCAAACGGGGCTGAATTATTTAAGCCAAGTTTGGCATCCTCCAAAAAAATTTAAAAAGTCAAAAAGTCACTATCCTATTTAAGTCACATCATCTTATTTAAGTCACATCACTTCTTTAACACATCACTTCAAACCCAACTCAAATTCAACCTATATTTCATAAAAAGTCAAAAAGTGCACTCATTTAGTCTTCCCAAACTTGGCCTTAGTGCAAGAATGGATGGATTTGATTTTAGGAAAAATAGCACTTGAGTGGGATAATTTCAAAATAACTGCGCTGAATTTTTTTTTTCTTTTTGAATAAAGGTAACCTACAAAAAAAGATAGGGGAATTTTTTTTAAGGTCCCTAATAAGAGTAATTTACAGCATAAAGGACACCAAAAATAGGAATGATGTCTCAGGTCCCTCACTAACGACAGGCGTGTTTTTAATTTTTTTTTGGATCAAAATACCTTTCACAGATCAACATAGAATGCTCAACTCGATTGCATTCCGACGACTCAATTCATTCCAAGCATCCAACCATTTTTATGAGTAAGAGAACATGAGAATTAGGGTTTCACTATCATCTTCACTGTCGCCATTACGGTTTCATTATCTTCTGCCAAACTCTTTTCAATTCGTTCCTCACAAATTTCTCTGACCTGTTTTCATTGTTCATCGTCATCTCAGTTCATCTTCATCTCATTGCATCTTCATCTCAAGCCATTTCAGTTCGAAATTAGGGTTTTCATCATTACTCTGGTAAGTTTTCTCCAATCCAACTAGTTTTTCTCCGAAACACAGTTGACTAGCCTTCCATTAATTAGGATTTCAATTTCGTAATAAAAACCTACATGAATTTGAAAAATGTTATTTCTCTAAGTTTCGAACTTATTCTTGAAGATGTTTGTGTGATTTTGTCTGTAAATTTCTCTGTCATTTGAATTTCTCTGGTATTGTGGAGTTTACAAGATAGACGGTTTAGATAATCAATATGGGCTCAGATTAAAACATGTAAGAAGAATATGAAAATGCATGGAGATATGAGGTATAGAAAGAAACTTATCCCGTTGGAAACATGCTATCATTGTTAAATCCTAATAAAATTAAAAAATTTAGCCAAAATCCTTCCATTGAATCCTTATTTGGTGAAAAGGACAACCCAATTTATTTTGCTTCATAAACCCCCTAAGGATGATGTGCATAATTGAGCAAAAATAAAGTAAAATATATTCTTTTTTTTGTTAGACAACATTACCAGAGTAACATGTTATTGTGAACCAAGTAACACGTTACTCTGAGATAGAGTAATATATTACTGTTTATGTCAATTTTGACAATAATAATTTTTTTTATTTTTTTATAAGAATTTCATATTCAATATAGATCTTTGATAGATCTTAATGAAATTATTCTAAAAATACTAATTTTATTAAAAATCGATATCTATATCAAAAGTTATAGTATTTTAAAGTTTAATATTTTGATAATAGTAGTATGTGGACTTTTAAGAAATTTTTTTATACTTATTTTTAATACATTAAAATTTTATTATAAGGAAGTTTTGACCAAATTCCTTAATAAAATTAGCTAAGATGGGGGGGGGGCACCGAATTTTAAACGCATCTTCATTCAAACTTTTGAAATTTTGTATAATAGGTTTTATTTATTTATTTATTATTTTTTTGAAAGCTTGGGTGACAAATTCGCATATATCAATTTCGTATGAAAGCTCTTCATATAATATGTCAAATTTATTATTCTATTATTTTTTAAATTTAAACTCTTTTATTTCACATAAAGTTATTCCATTTAAAAAAATAATGTATAAAATAAGAACATGTCAAAATTGGCAAGAAGGGATAATGCCAAATGTCACATCAGCTTTTGGCACATCAGGTGGAGTTGATACTTGATACCAAAGTATGACTGTTGAAGTGCCAAATCATATTTGAAGTATTAGGTAGAGGTGCTCTAACTATATATATAATTTTTTATCTATGTGTTTTACGACCATCTCCAATTGCATCAAATAAATATCAAATTGAGAATTTCACTTTTTTTTCATCAAACTGAGGATAAATGTGTCTTTAATCAAATCATTATTCATTGCCGTTGCTTAATGTCCCCCCATATATCTTCCTGGATGACCACCTCAAGGTAGAAATTTGTGAAAAAATTACACTGACTAGTCAACCACCTCAAAGGAAAATAAAATAAAATTTACACTGGTTGGTCGATCGGTCGAACATCCACCAGGTCGATCGGTGTTTTGATGAAGCTCCAAAATTATCCGTTGAAGCACTTGATATCAAAAGAAGCTTTTACTCAAATTTGATGAAAAAATTGATGCACCGTTAGAGATGCTCTAACATTACTATTTATTTTATCAATTTATCTACACAAGTTGTTTAAAAAGTACCTTAAGACTCTCGAAGTATAATTAGTTTGATTTATTTTTATTTATTAAAATGACTAGGTTAATAACTAGTTAGTTAAAAATTTATAATAGAATAAGATTAAGGTTTCGTTGGGAAGTAGGTTAGATTTTTGGTTTTTTAATTATTTTAGCCTAGGGCTAAAAAATTCATTTGGGTTGGTTTTTTTAACTTTTGTGAGAAGTAAAATGATTTGTGGCTCGAATTGTGTGCCCCCGAATGGCCCGAAAATTTTACACGCTCTCTCTATCTTTTCTCTTCGTCGGTATATGTTTATCGGAAAATTCTCGTAGCTCAAATTTTGTGGCTCAAAAGTGGCTCAAATGGCCAAAACGACGTCGTTTTG